CATTTTGGCCCTGAACATCCTCGGGTTCTGCGAGTGCTTTAGAAAATTCCAGCCTTTAAAAATTCTCAACGAGCCGACCCAGCTCACACTAACATAGGTGACCGCATCTATAAAGAGTATCCTACTATACCCCACTTGTAATTTACAAGATATAGACGTCATTAAAAGCAATAGCTTAACCTTTTTGAACGTCGTAGGTTGCACTTATTGCATCATAGGAATAAGATGGAGTTAAAACTCCTAAGTGCTCCATTCATTTAAGTTACACAGAACTGGTTGTCCTATTGAACTTGGTCCGTGGGATCTCCAGTCGCCAAGTTAGGTTTCCGTATAAGGTAACTTAGTTATTTAGGCTTTAAACTTATTCCCCTCGACGCACATTTAACTCTCTCGCTAGATAAACCTTATTAAATGGGTCCGCTCGGTTATCTATGGATTTCACAAAATCAATTATTTCATTCGAGAGTAAATGTCTCACATTATAAGTTTACGATGAATATGTCGAGACTTATTAAAGTATAAGAGCAATTATTAATTGATTATATTCAATTATATTGCCTCACTATATCCCTAAATGGATGTACAAACATATGTAACTTGTAGTCAAATACCCCCACATTTTGAGATATTTATAGTTCAATTATATATATTTCCATAACTCATAAGGAATGTTCATCTTGTGTGAAGCTCTATTTAATATGCCATTAGACACACAAGGAGTTTCCCCCACAAGTTGTTCGGTAAACTCAAGTTTAATCGTGTCTTTATATCATGATTTTCCATTTGACTACCTCATTTGATGTGAATAGGGTGCAATGATTTTGCCATGAACACAAATAAATTACTCATATTATCCGCTCTATCGGATTTAAGAAGTTATCTTCTTATTTTGTATTTCACAAATACGCATTTGCTACCTTTTTATCAAACTCAAAATTTTAAGAATTTCAATTTTTATTGAGAAAATACTCACAATATGATTGGACATAATCATATTGCACCTTTTAAATCAAGAACTAACTTACAAAATTTTTAAAAACAGAGAAATCAAGCATCCCTCGTGAGTGCTTATTTGAAGTATAAATAAATATTGATTATGCCCAAATTCAACCAACTCATTGATTTGAAAACAATATTGTTTCAAAAGAAAGAATAAAATATTTATATGATTTAATAATTTTAAATTTCACACAAACTTGTAAAACATAGGGCAATTTTGAAAACAATATACTAGTAAAAAACTTGTATAGTAAAACCTTGTTTTACACACGATATTTCCCAACATAATAAGTTCTTACAACTCTTAAATAAACCATATAACCTAAAAATTATTAGTATAAGTTTAGTAGCTTAGTTCTTGCCGATAACGGCTACGTTCGCCTTAAAGAGACCGTCACATAGGTACCCTTTTCCGACGTAGAACCCTCCTTTGGTTAGCACAAACTTTTCCGACTCAAAAGCTTACTTGAAACCTTTCTTGGTTAGGATAGAACCACTGATTAAGTTCATCCTAATATCCGGAACATGTAGCACATCATTCAAGGTAACTTCTTTTCCGGAAGTGAATTTTAGGATCACTTGTCCTTGTCCTTCAACCACCGAATAAGCATCATTTCCCATGAAGAGCTTTTGTTCTTGTTCCAACTTTTTATAGGAGGAGAACATGCTCTTGTCATAGCAAATGTGACGTGTAGCCCCGGTGTCTACCCACCATCCTCGAGTATCGTTCAATAGGTAAGCCTTTGTTACAACTGCCGAAAGGTGCATGTTGTCGTTCTCGGAAGCGGCTAAGTCAATGGTGACATTCGCTTCATTTTTATTATTTTCTTTGCGGTGGCGGCAATCCTTCGCAAGGTGTCCATTCTTTCCACAAACAAAGCACGCTCCGGTGAACCTTTTCTTCTTGTTATTTGGTCTTTTGTTAAAGGTAAGACCCTTTCGCTTGTTGCTCTGCTTCGAGCTCTCCACCACGTGTGCCTTATCCACGAATTGACCACCCTTGTCGGTAATTTTATTATCCTCCTCGGTCTTGAGCCTTGCTATGAGTTCCTCCATCGTCCATTTGGCAACCGATTTCTTGTGCCTTAGGTAGTGTTTGAACTCCGTCCAACTCGGTGGAAGCTTTCCAATTATGGAAGCAACTTGATAAGATTCACTCACCTCATGACCCTCGGCGAGAATATCGTAGATCATGAGTTGGAGTTCATTCACTTGCTCACTCACAGTTTTGTTGTCGACCATTCGATAAAATTGGAATTTGTCCACTATGAATTTCCTATAACCCGCATCTTCAGACTTGTATTTCTTGGACAAACTATCCCACAAAAGTTTAGCAGTCTTTATAGGACTATAAACTTTGTACAACGGTTCATCCAAGCAATTCAAGATGTAGTTACGGCATAGGAAATCAGAGTGACTCCACGCATCGATGGCTAGGAAGACTTCCTTGTTATTTTCGGGAGTTTCTCCTTCCTTTGCCTTAGGTGCCTCCTCATTGAGAAACTTAGCCAAATTCATGGTAGTAAGGTAGAAGAACATTTTGTTCTTCCAAGTAGCAAAGTCCATGCCCGTGAACTTGTTTGGTTTTTCGGCCGCGCCGACAACCTTAGGAGCGGCATCATTAATTGAAGCCATCTACACAATTTTCAGTCACGAGAAAAATTTCAACGAAAAGAATTTTTAAACTTGAAAGCCAAGATAATTTGAAGATAAATCAAGTCAAACAATGTCCAAATCCAAATATTCTGTACTTAAGAATATAAATAATTAAGTATTATATACCTTAATCTCTCGAATAACAGTAATAGAATAACATTTGTTTAATAAACAAACATAATAAATTTGAATCAGAAAAACCAATTGATTATTCAAAATAATATTAGTTTCACATAGAACCAGACAACTCTTACATATACATAATAAAATTTGTAATTATGGGCACAACTTTTCGCAAAAGAACAAAAACACATTAGTAAATCAAAATTTTAATAGCAAATTTCAAATTAAAAATTATTTTATAAAAACTTTTGCAAAACGTTGACGGAAGGCAGAACCACATATGCAATTTATATTTTAACACTGTGATTTGTTATAATATGCAAGTATAAACACACACATATATATAACAGATGTTGATGTAAAAGAAAAAACACAGATTCAAACTTTTTACAAAAATTTGGACAAACAAATATAAATTACGCAGAAGTTAACATATTAATTATATATTGTCTTAAGATTGTTGGTATATATATAACAATCTGCGTAAATTGAAGAAATACTTACTTGTTTGTCGAAAAGAGGAATTGTCAAAAACACAAAGAACGATCGAGGCTTGCCAAAGCAATTCCCTTAAGACAATATTTCCGGGCTGTCAACGGTGCACAGTCTCTTCCCGGTAGTCTCCCAAGGTACAACGATCGGTTGTCGAATATTTGCACGAATATTCGACCCACGGCGAACTTGAACAACGAACGGAACTTTGACGAAGAGAAAGAAAAATATAAAGAACTATCTCTTAATTGCCGATTAAATTCAGTACAGAATTGGCCAGATTCTGCCTTTATTTATAGGTTGTAGAGATCCATTCACAGAGGGATGCAATGGTTGGAGAAGAAGCAGAAGGTTGTGTCTGTTCTTTTTACTGAGTTCAAAAAAACGTAGGAAAATTAATTGGTCATGGGCCAATTAATTAATTTGGTTTGGGCCAAGTATTTTATTATTTGGATTTTGGTTCAAATAATTTAACTAACTACTAAATGTCCCCAAAAATAATATTTGTGGACATCTAAACCCAAACTAGTCCTATCACTCGATCACACCGAGCGCACATCTTTTGAACTTTAACCATTTAATCAAGACAATTTTCATTCACTTTACTTCATGATTTTGATCAAGTAAATAAATGAAATTAATCTTTACATAATTAAATTAATATTACTCAATATTAATTATTGGAAATCATGAAAATTCCAACACATATTCCATTGGGCTCTAAAGTATAGAACTTCTGCAAAAAAAGACAACACCAACAAGAGTTCTGGTGGTGGTGGGTATGCAAATTTAGAGATTTTTATAAAATTCTTAAATATTTTCCTAAATATGTGATTTCATTTGGAGACTCTCTATTTACTGGGTCCCACAGCATTTTATTTCATTTTATTTTTTCCTTCAGAGTTTTTAAGGGGTGCTTATTTTATATTTATATAGTTCGAAAAAAATTGTATATATTATTTTTCATTATATTTGAACATATACCCCTGTTAATATTTTGTCATTTCATTTGTTTGAATTATTTTTCTATAGCAATATAGATAAAAATAAAATAATTAATGGCAGGGATCAATTTGTATATATATATATATATATTTTTTCATTATATTTGGACATATATCTTTTCAGATTTTTTTATTTCTTTGATCAATATGCGTATTAAAAGTAATTATGACTGATGCCTGATGGAATATAAATTAATTATCTAAAACCTCACAGATGAATAAAATTTAAACCTTAATTACATTACTATATAAAAAAAATCGTAAAGTAAATTTAGAGACTCAAAATTATAGAGCTCTCCATTGTGGAATTTTTTTTAGAGACTCGAAAATTTTATCGGGTCTCCATATAGGTCTCCAAAACCGAATTTGGAGACCCGATTTGCTTACTCCATTGGAGATGCCCTAAAGTAATTCGATTATTTTGCATAGAAAGATGAACTTAATTTTTTCAAGGGTTCTTTTGGGAGAGAAGCAGCGAACGAATGAAAAAAAATAGAAAAAAAGGTGCTAATTGAAGAAAAGAGGGGTGGATGTTTTGAAATTTATAAGAATAGACAAAGACGAATTCGCCCTTTTTCAAATCTCACAAAACCGGTTGCCCTTCACTTTCGAGCCAAAAGGTGATGGAGGGTGCAAATTGACAAGAAATTTATAAATGGAGGGTGCAAAGTGCTATTTTTTCAATTTAAGGGCACAAAGTGCCAAACTCATGCAATGTGAGGGTGCAAACTGCAAAAAGCCAATTACCCTTTTAAATTTATATATTTTTTCCTTTTTATAAAATATTTTTCTCTGTTCATCTTCCCGCCCTCGCCCTTCACCATTGCTGGTTTCTCTCTCTCTCTCTCTCACACACACACACACACACACACACACACTCACACAGAGAAGAGCTCTGATTCCGCAGTACATATACGTGCATAATGGAGAAAGAAAGTTCTTTTACTTTAACTATCTCCGATCTAATTCAGCGAGCCCAGCCCCTCACCGCCGCGGCATCTCTCGTTCCCAGCCGTCCGATTTCCACGTTGGGGCCCCACAATAATTCCGATGAAAACCACCGCCGGAAATCATCCTCAGATACCTGTCGGAACACTGGTCTCCAAACCCTAAAACCGTTGAATCAGCCAACGCCCCTTATTGGAACCCTTACCCTGCCGTCTATTCCAAAGAGCAGTTCACGGATTAAATGCAACTGCTTCCAGTTTAGTGACGATTCCGCTACGATTTGCTGTGGAATTTTGGATTTCGACCCGAAAATGATTGATCAGAGGATTCGGGTTCTAGCTTGGAATTTTATCCCTTTACAATGTGGGGATGGGGGTGTGAAAGGTGGGTTCCTGGAGATCATTACCTGGGAATTTTGCCGATCTTTTAGCGGGAATGTTTGTTCTTTGTCGGATTTCGGTTCTTTTTGCTTGACTCTAGGTGGTTGTGACGTTAACGAAAACTCCGCCGCCAACTGTTTGATGTTTGGCCTGATAGAGTCAATAAGCCCTGTATCCGTTGTTCCTTGTGCGGGTGGTGAAACTGGTTCAAGAAATATCAGCGGGTTTCTTGCAAATGTTCGTGTTTGCAAATGCAAAATTTGTGCCGCAAAGTTACTGGTATCGCAATTGAAAGATTTGAGTGAGGAAAATGTCGGAGACCATTCTTTTACGAAGACGGTGATTGTTTACTTTTGTGGGTTAACATCGGCGTGGCATCCTGTCATCTCACGGTTTATAGGCGGCATTGTTTTGCTTACGGGGTTAAAGAAAAAGTTGGTATTCATTAGCAAGGAAGTGTCTCAATTGATGTATGTGACGACAGATGAAGCATCATTCCATATTGCTAAGTTGTTTAAGCAACGAGGTTTCGTCTGCAATAGTGATGTAAGAGGGGAGGGTGAATGTGGTAGCTACACTGGGATCGTTACTGGTTTGTACATGCAGGGGATGGTAGTCGAGTTGGATCAAGATGTGATACTATTATTAACCGAGCAGCATCTCACTGTACCGCACTGTGTCAGAGTTGGTGCTATTGTACGTTAATTAGCCTCTGCTCGTTTGCGTCAATGTCAATATATATCATTTGTGCATTTACTCTCTTGATATCTACTTGATCCTCCCTTAACATCTTTCAACGTCTGATTCTTTAGGTGACTCTGAAAAATGTACATTTTGTTGATCCAAAGTTCCGTTGGGGAAAAATGTTGATACTTGGTGCTTGCTGTAGAACTAGTGTGTATGTGGAATCATTCTCCCCGTTGGAAACAGGGTTAGCACAAATTTTGATAGTACTGAAAATAAAATTCATTTGTACATTGTATTTACTTTTGATGCAATATCTGTTGTAGATGTCATTCGAGATCATGCTCTCCGAGCTCCCTTCAGAAGTGCATTAATTCCTTGTCTTTTGCAGCCAGATTATGGTACTAAATATGTAAATGCCAGTCAATTTTTCGTTGCTTTTGATTGGCTCATCTAATGCCAATCTTGTGCTCCAGGGCGTTACTTGTCATCTCATGTTTCGGGAAAAAGTTTGCCGGGATTTTATCCGAAAAGGAAATATTCGGGTCAAAACATGTAATATATCTGGTTACCTCCTTCAATTTTCGATTGATTTATTTCATGAATGCATTATATTTTTGGTAGTTTGAGTTAATCTAAGCTGATTTCAACAATTGCAAGGTGTTCCCAGAACGAAGGACTGGCTCAAAAGTACGCTAGTTCATATTTGCCAACATCAGCTTTTCAGATTCGGGTAAATTTGTATCGATGACATCATAAAAAAATTCCCGTTTTTTATTGCTGCCACCTTCACTTGCGTATCTCTGTTTGGCAGCAAGGACTCATGCTTGAATTCTGTAAACATAATTTGTGTTCTGTTGGCAATGAAGCACATTACGGTCATTTGAGATTGGTCAGTCTCACGTATTTACATTTGACTATAGCCATATCAAATATCTCATTTAGAGTAACAAGTAATGCATATTGAGGATTGCGATTGTCCTGTTCTAATTTCAGGTGCTACCTATTGCTAATTTAATTAGTTATTACGAGGCTTCGTGGAAGAAAATTCTTGACGACCAAGATAATTTTTCTGGTCTTGTCTATGACAGCAATCAGAAAAAGCCTCTATGCTGTGAAGGTAGATCTTATGTCCAGTCAGTCAAACGAGTCTTTCACACCGAAGAAATTGGCGTTCTTGTACTTGGAACTCTAAAGGTAAAAAACAAACGCATTCTCCTTAAAAGTAGTGCTAGCAACGATTCACATTTTTCCGTCTATATATTTTTTCTTAGTTCGAGTTGGGTGATAATCAAAGGCATATCCAATTTCTCTTATTTTCTACAGGTTTCTTTATCGTCTGGAAAATTGCAGCTTGTTGATGCGACCGGTTATATTGATATCATGACTGACCTTCCAACAACTTGGGACTTTGACAGGATTTTTGAGGTAGTGCTGTCTGAATGGTACAAGGAGAGATATTAGCATGCATTTACGTGCTTCAAGAATTAATCCATCTTTTCTCACTCCTTTCAGGCAAAAAAATTCAGACTAATTATTGAAGGCATACCCCCAAAATTAGTCGACTTGGATTCCACCATACATCAGCCTTTATCTTGCCGAAGCATATTCAGTAACGATCTGCCATTAGAAAAGATGAAGACATCGATTTATCTTTACGCCGATAAAGATTCTAGAAGCTGTTCTCTTTTCTTTGATTCGAAAGGAAATTCTCACGAGCTTGAGAACGGAAAATATCACCTGATTATGTTAACACACAAATTTCCCATTCAGCAAAAGGTACGTTTCTTTTAGCAACAAATAGTGGTGAAATTAAAGTTTTGGAGTTTTTTGAACTGTATTTTAAAAAAAAAATCGTTGACATTTTAGTTTCAAGGAGATCTAGCAAAGTTGTCCAACATATTTGCCGAGGCCATAGTCTTGCCTTGGGATTTGCTTGTGGCTGGGAAATATGAAGATACTGTCACAAATTACGTGGAAAATATTACGAGACCTGAAAAGCATCGTAGTAATAAGAGATGTAAAGTCGAGCAAGCTTGTGTTGATGCTTCCAATATTGGTTTAAATGAATCCATGAACAGATTACGAGGCCAATTTACATTAAAGACATGTGCTTCAAATCATCCGATAGAACTGCCATGTCTGATTGCCAGTAAAGGTAAAAAAATCCATTACCATGCTAAGATGGTTTCTGTCTGTAAACCTTCAAAGAGGAAGGTATTGCTCGAGTTCAGTCCCGATAGCCTTTGCGTTTACGAGGTATGTCGTGTTGTTTTAGTTATCTTGTGATTTTGTTTTTGTGTGCATTCACTACTTATTTAAGACATTGAATGCAGGTAATGAAAATTGGCTGTTGTTACCTTATTAAACATCACGAAGAAGATAATTTACGCCCAAGAAAAGAAAATCCTCAAATTAGTCGTGCTAAATTATCCATTAGTTCCGAAAACCGTGTTAGGAAAGTTAGATTCTCATCAATCGAAACTCTCAGAAATTCAGATGTATTTCCTTCTTGTAATCTACATAATAGCAGCGACGAGATCATTTTAGAAGGGCCCCACCGAGTTGAAATTTCAGGTCTCGACAGTGATGTACATTCAGACATAAATGTGTTTGTTCCCTCCGGTGATGTAACTTTACTGGAGAAAGCTATTAAAGATTCTTCCAGCGAAGAATCGGATATCCATGGCCATGGTGAACCCATGACAAATGCATCGGTTTGTCACACTTTACCCGAGGGGAACCTAATAACTTTGCAAGGGGTTGTAATGTCTTTTCACGACTGTAGTGGTGACAACTGTCCTGTACCTGGTCAAGGTTATCTTCCGATGTTTCTACGAGGAAATGGCGGTGTCTGTTTTCATGTTTTGGTGGACAATCAAACTGTATTCTTCTCTACCGAAATGCTTTGCTTAATATTTTAACATACTTTTCTTTTTCTTACTCTTGTTTTTCTTTTTTTTCAGCTCAGAATATTCTGCGATTTAAGTAAACAAACTTACCCTGTTGGGTTAGGAACAAATGTGTATGCAACCTTTCATCGGATTCTTGTACTTAGGTACGAATAGTCGATCATGCGAATATAATACCTTTTTTCTAGCTTGTGTTTTCACCCCTTTTTGGTTGTTTATCCAGAAATAAACGGAGAAGGATCATATTTGGATCTTGTTTAGAAATTATTGGTTACTTATTAATATGGATAGGATGAAATTAATCTAAGCAATTTTTTTTTTTTTTTTTTTTTGTTTTTTTTTTAACATTGGACTTCTGACTCGTTTTAAAGAAAAAATATATCAGTGTATTTCCTTACCTTTTTTTTTTTATGGAATTTATCAAGAATGTTATTTTTCCCAGCGCGCAGAACCGATATGTAATGACACCTGTATCCTTCATAACAATCAAAGATACAATCTTGACGAATGGACATCTAACCGATGAATTCAATGATCCATCTCGAACTGGAACTGAAACTGTAGGCTTATTCAGCGTTGCTTCTCCAAACACTGTTCCGACAATATTAATATCCGATGCATTGCAATTATCGGAGCTTAAACCACTTAAGTTTCGTTGCAGGGTAATTTCTGTGAATTATGCTGTTTTGTTCCATGGATTTGAAAATCTACTTGTCAATTCTTGATTATTAATTTTTCATGACCTTTATCTAACCATTTCTTGATTACACAGATCGTTGGTGTTTATACGCTTGTATTTGAGAAGACTAAAACTACTGCAGTTTCTCGTTCATGTTTTGGGATCCCATTTGCTGGTTTTATCATCGGTAATTCTTCTGTTCGACTCGAAACTTTTAAGCTTGGAAAGAAAATAAAATACATTTGACAAACTATGTATTTATTGACATATTCTCAGTACCGAAATAACTCTTTTTATTATCGGTAAATTTCATTTAAAACATTTCGGAGTATACCATTTTCTCACCACAAGAATGTATTTGATATTACTCTTTCTCAATGGTTCTTTCTTCGTTCCAATTGTCTTGTAGATGACGGGTCGTCGTCTTGTTGTTGTTGGGTTGACTCGGAGAGGGCTAAAGCCTTGCTTGGGTTAGAGTTTGAAGACCATTTACGTAAAGATTCTGCAGAATCTTTTGGGAGATCCAAAGCTCGTAAACGCTCCAACATTGGCCGCTTAAACCGTGTTCTAGAGCGACACAACAGAATTGTGGTGAAAAACTATGGACACATATTCGATCCTTCGAGTCAACAACTAGCTTTCTTGGTCAACTCCGACAAATCACTTCGAAGTTCAGACGAAGATCTCCTTAGAAACTCGATCAACTATGCTTTCCTTCGCCCATCTTGGGTAAGTATTAGTTAGACTCAACTCTGTTCGTATAGAGCATGAAAAAGCTGATTAACATGCTATTTTGTATATTTTTTTGCTCAATTTTCTATTTTCTCAATCTTAACTTATCAAGATTTTATTTTCTTGAATCATATAACAGGTTTCGGTTTTTTATTTTTTTTCAGACAATAGTTGGCAACCTCATGGATGAAAAAACGAGTAACTGGTTGGGAGAGCGTTTAATGGAGTTGGATATATTATTTCCTTCATTGCTCAATGTATGGCTCACGAGCATTTGTCACACGGACATGCTCGCAGAAGCTAGGAACATCATTCAAGAACTCGTATAATTTGCAGGTAATATCTGTTTGTTGTAAACTTTGTTATTTAGACGAGGTCCGTTCGATGCTTTAATACTTCACATGTAAATCCTTAACTTTTCGGTAAGATTATATTTCTTAAAACATGTTCAATGGCAATGGCAATGACAATGTTAATACAGTTAAACTGGATCAGAAGCTTGCATAAGTTAAATAGTACATGTAACAAACAACCTTAAAATTTCAATTAAATTTAAACTCTTGTATCATAACTTATAATTTATGTACAAACCCATTAGGGGAGATAAAAAGTAAAACTATCCATGTCTGAAAAAAAAGTTAAAAAAAGCGGGAACTTTCTAATTTTTCTGCTTGCGTCCCGTTTTGAGAAGGTGGGAGACACCAGCTATTACATGGAGTCTACTGTTCGGAACACCCGTTTTTGCAAGTGCATTGCCGTGTTTATCTATTAGGACAAAGCATGGGACATACTTTACGTCGTAATGGAGTAGCTGCATTCACATAATTACGATTATTTTCAGCAACTATCACAATATAACACAAAGCAATACAAAACCCGAAAACCAATAGGAAGGTAACTTGATATATCCTAAAATTATCAACAAGTGATTATGTAGATGTAGAAAAGGAATAACATTTAACATATCTTTTCAGCTAACACAACACTAATTGTTAGCGTCACGAACCATTGGAAAAAAGTGTACGTAAGATGGTGCTACGTGCAGTTTATGTCGCAAAAAAGAAAAAAAATTAAAACTTAAAATGTTATGGTTTCGATTTATTCAAACTTTTCCAAGCTTCTGCATAATCAATCAACGGTCCTAAAACTTGAATTCGTCCAAAAAGATACTTAAGCATTGAAATTAACCTAAACATATCATATATGGATAATTACGAAAAAACACCTCTTGTTTGGGCAGTAGCAACTACCCCTCAACTACGAATCTACGAATCTTCTTACACGTCCACCCTTGCAGTGTCAAATTTAGCAGAATCTTCTAGATTATGTAGAATACTCTCCAATTTGTATCCGATTTGTACCCATTTTAGCTTGTAAATATCATATTATGGTGCATCACAAACTGCAATTTTACACAAAACGCGTACAAGCTAGAGAAATTTCCACGCAATCTACAAAAATTATGTTGAATTTGACACCACGAGGGTGGACGTGTAAAAAAAATTCATAGTTAAGGGAGGTGGCTATAACTATCCAAACAAGTTTCGTTTTTTTTTTCCTCGTAATTTGACCTTATTCACTCAAAATAATAATAATAATACTTTTAGCATGAATCAAGAATCTTCAAAATCAAGCAGCTGAAAAAAATATATACTTGAATTAAAATAAATAAAAATGAATAACCTCAGGTAACCAGTGATCGTTCTCGGCGTCGGCCATAACAATGTTGAGCCAATCGGAGTTTCTATTCTCGATTTCAATCACAAACGGAAGCAGCGAATTACACAGCCTGCACTTGGGCGAGTAGAATTCGAGAACCGTAGCTTCTTTCCCGCTCGCTAAAGCAGCGGCGAACGCTCTCTGCTCCGCCTCTCCTTGCTCGTTAGGGCTCAAATTCTCCCTCTTTTGCTTCAATTTGAATGGGCTTTTCTGCGAATTTGGTGGTGATACTGCGGAATTGACGAAATTGAACGCTGCAATCCCCAAATTCTGGGCCGATTTGAAAATCCAAGGGGTATTATCTAAATTACAGGGACTATTTGCGGGATTGTTATTGTTATTGGGAGTGTTTTGGTTTTGGTGATTATCCCATGGCCATTTTATGCAGAAAATAGGGTGTTTTGATGCTGAATTCATCTCTCTCTCTCTCTCTCTCTCTCTCTCTCTCTCTCTCTCACTACAAATTTGAATCTGAGTAGTAGATGATATGATTTTCTTCATATTGGGGTGGGATTTGTTATTTTGAACTAGTTTGGGGACTATTGTAGAATTTCAGAAAACTATGCTGGACCTTTTTTTTTTAGCTAACTTGATTTTGGGCTAAAGCCCAACTTAAACTTTGGATTGATATGTTCCTATGTATGGTTCTTTCCAACTGATTTTTTTTTTTTTTTTAATTAGTGAAATTTCTTCTTTAGGTTGTTGAAATTGAATTGAAAAATATTGGAGCAAAATATTTTCTAGAGTAACTTTTAGATGTATAAGATCAATCCACGTGGCAAGAAAGAAAAGAGTTAATGAAGTCCGGTGAAAGTCTTGATCGTGCAGCAGATAACTAACATACTGACTATAATCTAGATCTGACGTGGTGGCTGATGATTGGAGCTACTGGATTTAAGCATTTATGTTGATTCCGTACATAGGAAATTCAACAAAATGTAATTTACTGGTTTTTTCGTAATTTGACCAAACAAAATGTAAGCCATTTTTTTCAAGATTGAACGATATGTCTCTTTAGTTCGTGCATTCATCTTCCTGAATTAGAATTTTATGTGCATGGTAATTACTTAAAACTATTGTGCACTATTTAAGACGGTTAGTCGAGTTGGTCGGTGAAATCTTTGATTGAATTTGGTAAATCGTACAACAAATATAATTTTTATAAAACAAAAATAAAAGTAAAGAGTGTTTATACATTTAATTACGTGTAAATCTAGAAGCAAGCTCGTGGAAACAACCAACAAAAAAATTCAGACACACTAATAGTAGTCTATCAGGCACGTTTAACACAATTGGCCATGTGGGCTTAATTGCCTCAATTATTTACGAATTTATCTGCCGACATATACATTATTATATTATAAATAAACAATTTATCTAATAAATAAATAATAATAATTATAATAATTTGGAACATTCGTTTCGACAACATGTTTGTTTTTTTTCCTACCTGCACATGTCTGGTGTCCCACCACATGTTTAACGCTAGTGCTGCTCCTTTATTTCGTTTTCATATTTCAATTTTTTTTTTTATTAATCTAATTACTAAAATTAAATTATTACTAATGATAATATAATTCATTCAACACACACAAATGATATACCCTATTGTCAACCAAAAT